CCTCTGCATCCAGTCCGATTTAAGATCCCATCACTGACTTGCTGCCTACAGAACAATCCTTTGTGCAAAGGTGTTCACTATGAGGTCATTGTAAAAGACAAGGGGTGCTCTTTCCACCTGGAGGAGGGAGGTTTATTCTCAACATACAGAAAGGCTTCCTTACAGTAAAAACTGTGAAAATGAGGAACAGAGGCCGACAGGAGCTATTTCTAGCCAACGTCTCTTCAAAAGAAGGCTGGGGGTGTTTCTAAAAACACAAAAAACGTAGCTGGCTATTACAAGGGAATAACATTTCATTTTTTATCCGGGGAGCACGATTGTCTTTGGGGGTCAAGGAGGATTATTTTGATAAATTTGATCATTCTTTATAAGTGTTTCTAGAATAATTTAATATCTTTTTGGTTGCAATCAATTGATGTGTCTTTTCCGATCTCACAGTAAAGAACCCTTTCCTACATTGTGAGTAAAGACACCATTTTTCATGATACCCCCCTGTCCTCGGTAATGATGTCATATGCTGGCCCGCTGGGTTTCCTCAGCTCCTGACTATATAACTGCTAGCATCGGAATCGGGCCCGATACAGGGCATTTTGACAAGTACTTGTACTTGTCAAAATGCCCCGAAGCCTAGCACCGAAGCTTGCGCTATGTTTTGTTTTTTTTTCTTCTTACTTGCCGAGCGTCGCGTCACTGCTGCTCCGGTGGGCAGCGCTCCGAGCGGGGTCATCTGGCAGTCTCCGGCCACCTAAATTAGGACCCGGAGACTGCCAGATGACCCTGCAGCGGCCAGTCAAGAGCAGGGGAGCGGGGACGAGTCAGGCGAGAGGAGCTCCAGGTGGGGTTCTAATTTAGCGGGCAGGCACCTCTAAGCCAGCTGAATTAGGACCCAACCTGGAGCTCCTCCCACTGGACCAGTTATAACATGTAGTTGTACTATGGATCATTTAAAGTCAACTGTCCCTTTAAGAAAAAGTATCGGTAATTGGTATCGGCAAGTACATGAGGTGATGTACTTGTACTTGTAATTGGGCCTGAAAAAGTGGCATCGGGACATCCCTATTTATAATATAATTCTTCACTAGACAACAGCTGTTCAGATCACCATTTGAATATGTCACTTTGCTCCTCTGCACTTACATGCCGACATGGTGAAAAACTTGGTTGACATGTTGATTCTTGTGGCAAGACAGGAAGTCTAAGACAACCATGGTGCAATTTAAAGCAGAAACACCTACAAATGGCTCCAGGGCTCGGTACGGAACAATCCCTTTACTTTCGTCCCCTGCGGCCTCTTTTCCTCTTTCAGGATACAAAAAACATGAATGAATCATGGCAAACGCCACCCGTCCAATTAAAACGCAGCTCTTAGTATAGAGATGTAGGTGTGACCACAGGGCTGGGTCCATATGTCCCAAAGTTAATTGTCTTAACATAGCTCAGCCATGGCTGCTGCGGCTCCTGTCATTAATTTGGTCCCTTCAGAAATAAAAAACAAAGAAGGCCCTGATGTGAATCACCTACCTCGCTGGACTGGATCGACCTCTCCGTCCGGGTCCTGATAAAATTCATTACACAAGGCGGACAGGGATGACACAGCGGCTTCCTGCAGGCAATGAGTAGAACATGGGGATTATCACATCACAGACAAAGAGACATGACGAAGAATTACAGATACTAAATTTCAAGACATGTTTATGGCTCCAAACGACTATATAAAAACAGCATTATTTCCCCCGACTCAGCTTGACGAATTATCTGAGAAGTGTTTATACCGGGGTGGGCGTGGGGGGAGAAGGGGGCGACAGGGGTGGTATCACTTTACAAATATATTTCAATCAGTTACTCGGGGGTGCCCAATTCCTATCGCCCAATGCCTGGGACTAGATGTAGAGCAGGAAAGCCGCAGCTCGTTTTGTACAAGTGATCTGGGCGGCTGTACAACCGCATTTGTTGCAGCCTGCTTGTCCCTCCCACCGTGGTTTTTGGGGTCCCCTGCTCTTTTGGGGGCAAATTACTTCAGGAGAGGGGGGAGCAGACCGGAGAACATTCATTCTCTGAACAGTGAGACAGGAGCACTGTACTCACAGCCCTTCCTGTCTCAGCTGTCACAAGCCGGGCTGCACAGGAGACCGAGCACTATGCTGTGCACCGTCTCCTATATTGCAAGTAAGGCTCCATAAAGAGAATCTGTCACCTACAAGTTCAAGCTGACAGCCTCAGAGCCTCTGTTGTCAACCATAAGAATTATTTGCTCCACAGTGCCTGTAGATACAGAGGTCCGTGGGGCTTGCTTTAAAGTTAATTTGCTGCTTGTTATGAATATATAAAAATATTTGAATGTGCTTATACCAAATACAGACATTTCCCAGAACACATACCAGCCAGCCTGCAACAAAACAAATTTCACTGTCTAACAATCTGCATTCAAACAGAAGCTTTGATTGCACCACATTTGCAAAATATGTGGAGGCCGCCGGCCTCATCAAGGCTCCTCTGTGTACTGTGGTCCTAATTCTAATCTTTGCTGTCCACTGATGAAAATAATGCATGCATCTGACACAGGACACTACGTATTGTGGAGGTCTGGTAAGAGACCCTATTGATGGGGTGAGAGGGCCGTACCTTTATCTTCTGACGGGCAGAGCTGGAGAACAAATGGAGGCTTTTCAAAGTGTCATTGATAAGCTGCTGCCAATCGGCTGAGATAGAAATAAAAAAAGATGAGTTACTGGATTTATAAACGGAGAAAACAAGCAATTCAAAACATTTCCTTCATACAACCAACCTCTCTGGCTTCATGGAGCTCACAGACCCTCACATGTTGCTCACTGCAACCTCTCATGAACAGTTCAGTACCTGGCTGGCCATCTGATATGTCACACAAAGCAGAAACAAAACCAAATACCTACTGCCCCCATCATACCCTCAGCACTCCTCTCCTGTACATACTGCCCCCATCATACCCTCCACACTCCTCTCCTGTACATACTGCCCCCATCATACCCTCAGCACTCCTCTCCTGTACATACTGCCCCCATCATACCCTCAGCACTCCTCTCCTGTACATACTGCCCCCAGTCATACCCTCCCCACTCCTCTACTGTACATACTGCCCCCAGTCATACCCTCCACACTCCTCTCCTGTACAGACTGCCCCCAGTCATACCATCCACACTTCTCTCCTGTACATACTGCCCCCTGTCATACCCTCCACACTCCTCTCCTGTACAGACTGCCCCCAGTCATACCCTCCACACTCCTCTCCTGTACATACTGCCCCCTGTCATACCCTCCACACTCCTCTCCTGTACATACTGCCCCCAGTGATACCCTTTCTAACTCTCCTGCATATACAGCCTGGTTACTGCATTTCCTGTTAAATTCCTAACCTTTCCTTTAACATGAACGTACCTATTGCAGCATCTCCCGGGTGTGGGATTTTGGAGAGGGAAAGATTTTCTATCAAAAGGCAAACTGGCAAAACAAAAAAAAGCAAACACAGATTAGGACACAAACCATAGTCAAGGAGCACTACACTACTGACAGTTCAACGACATACGATGCCTTGGGACCCTGTTAAGAGTATATTCTGCATATACTGTGACATACTATACATCTGCAGAATTCATGTGGGCAGTACAGTGACTATAGGCAGCACATTGGCTTAGTAATTAGCACTTCTGTTGTGCAGCACTGGGGCCCTTTGGTTCGAATCCTGGCCAGGACACTCTCTGCATGGAGTATGGATGCTCTCCCTATGCAAGGGTTTCCTTTGCATTGGTTCCCCCCATACTTCAAAGACATGCTGGTAAAGTTATTGTCCACTGTCTAAACAGGCCCTAGTACATATGTGAGATAGGGACCTGAGACTGTAAACTCCTTGAGGGCAGGGGCTGATGTGAATGTGCAATATGTAGACTGCTGTGTAAATGAATGGCATAACAATATATTAGGTTAATAACAAACACTGAATCACAACTATAATTACTATATAAATGACAAACGGCCTACAAGAAAAATCATTGTGTCAATACCAAGTAACCAGATATTGCATAACCCAAAGGTGGACAATTAATTATGGATTCCGGGAGCCAGCAGGTTTTGTTTTTAGGAGCCAGCTCCATTGACGCTGAGAGAAAACCCTCAAAAGTTGTAATTCTTAAGGGACATTTGCTACCTGGCTGCTTGGATTTGCCCAGCCCTGGCATAACCTGCAGCAGGAGAATAACAGAAAACTCTGACTGATACTAATGGCACCACAGACAAAATGACTTCTAAAAATGTGATGACCACTAATTTCTGGTGCAGATAGTTGGGCAGCCGACTTGAAGTGTCGGTCTATGTACTGTAGAAGACCCAAGTCTCTTTTTATGAAGCTCTGAGCCCCAGGTCATTGTGGGGGACAGGGTCAAAAGGCTTGAAATGAAGACCATCAATACAGTAGCTGAGTCCTTCTGGCTGGACATGGCTAAAGAGCTCAGACGACAATCCTGCTTGTTCTATCCCTTTAATACCGCAATGAAAGCAGACAGTAATCCAGCTATAATAGGAGGCCTGCAACAAATCTTGTAATGTTTATCCCGGGTCAGCTCAGTGAGATTGCGATCTGATGGGGATCAGGGAATACAAGGAGGACTGATAACATTGGGCTCTAGGAGGGAAGACCGGCCGGAGTACGTTAAGTGTGGCATTACATGGTATTACATGAGGCTTACCTGCTGGTCTCATTAACTCTCCACCCAGACCCCTAGATCAGACAGAAAAACACACAATGACACGAGGACACAGGCAGATTTCATTGTACAGAATACATTAAAGAGACATTTTTATTTTTAACAAGAATAAGCACCTCATAAGTTCCACATTTGACAATGAGCACCAAATTGGTATAAAAATGGCTTCCAGCAGGTACATAGACGTCAAGTATGTCTATCTGGTCATTCTGGGGATATTTGGTCCATTTTTCTTTTTTAAACCCCTACTAGTAAAATTACAGCAGGATCTGATTGGTTGATATGACAGAGAAGTACAAAATCCTGATTCAGCATTTCTGACAAGTGTCTTATAATTGTGAGTAATGAGCATGAAATGACAATAGACAATGATTCAGGTATTTTGCCATTTTCTTTCTGATGGGAGAAAAACACTTTAACGACTAATGTGTAATGCTAATAAACCCTTCGCCGGATCAGTATGACGCAGCTCACCTACACCTTGTGTTCCACCCAGGTATTAAACTGCTATAATGGGATGGGGGGGGGGCATAGTTGCCTCTACAGGACTGGAGGCACCCAAGGAGATTAGGAGAGGCAGCAATACACACTCTACACCTTCTACAATATACAATGAAGCTCCGACAACTGGTTTAGGAAGTTTAACACCATCCCTATAGAAACTGCTGACAATGCAACTGACCCATTGGTACAACTCTGACTATAAGTACAGAACAACAGATGTTATAACATAACAAGTAACTCACAGAGAATTTTCACCTAATGCATTTTTTAAAATGTAATTTAGTTATTAGTTTTGGTATAAGAACAATGAACAGCAGCATTTCTGAATCAGGGTACTGTGGCACCGTGTGGTACCTTGAAATTTTCACACAGCGTCATGCCTTTCCACGGTGCAGGCAGGCAGGCTGGCCGCCAGCACCATGGGAATGAATGACGCTAATCCAGAGAAAGTGGGATACATTCAGAAAAGGATAGACGTTCACCTCCCTCTAGGAGTGCTACACCTCCCACTCTCTGCCATGCTGCCTCCTGATGGAGGGACTGAGGACTCAGATGTTAAGGAAGGACTGGAGACTCAGATGTGAAGGGGAGACTTAGATGTGAAGGAAGGACTAAGGACTCAGATGTCGAAAACTTTGGTGGTGTTTTTTGTTCAATTCAAGTATTTTTTGGGCAAGTCTGATGTGTTTGTTTACATTTTAATTTAACACTTTAGTGAATAAGGAGTACAAGTAACCCTTACTCATTCACAAGGGGGGCGGGCAGCATCTGGGTGCCCCTTCATGAAAGGGGGTATCCCGATGCAAATAAGACCCCCTGCCCACAGGAAATCGGTACAGTGAAAGAATGTCGGCTGTCACAGCACAGCTTTCCATTTGATGTAGACAGAAACCCAAATACTAAAGTTGCATATAATCATTACTAAAATAAATGGAGGAATTCATCAAAACTGGAGCAGACGGAATCTGAAGCAGTTGCCCATGGCAAGCAATTAGCTTCTACTTGGTTTTCAAATCTCAGCTGAACAAACTAAAGAGAGAAGCTGACTGGTTGCCATTGGCAACTGCTCCAGATTCGTTCTGCTCCAGTTTTGATAAATCCCCCCACCTTATTTTTGCAAGCTATTTCTAAATCTTTAATTATTATATCTTGGTGATATTGCCATGAATTTCCTTGCTCAGACACTTCCTGTAATGGGGAGACAATGCGCTATCCCTGCGTCCCGAATGTGCTCCTGCATTGTCACCCTGTGCCCATGGGCTTCCGATGGAGACGAGGACTACAAGTGGCTATTTCAACGCACATTACACAGGCATGGGCCATTGTTGTCACCATTCTGCCCTCAGAAATGACACAAAACCATCGCTGGATTGCATAGAGGAAGAAGAGGCTGTGGGAGTTCGGCAGTAATGAGATGCAACAAAGGAAGAAAAAAAGGGGAAATCAGTCTTTTCTTTAAAAAAAAAAAAAATGGCATTTGTTTTGGTACACAGTGGACAGAGCAAACTAAGCGTCATCCAATAAGGGTTGATATCTTCTTTAAATGCTATACACTATGCTTCCTATACAACAGCCAAACAGGAGTCTCATAAGGTAGACACATGCACAATACATCCCATCAATATGTGCGACTGTCCTACCACACATATGAACACTTGGGACAGTACCCTTCATATGGCAAGGCCCCAGTCTGGCCAGAATTGACTTAGTTCTTTGGACAAGATACTTGAAGCTGGTAACAGTATGATATGGAAACAAGATGTCACCTTCTGATACATCTGGGTTTTATTGCTCTCAGAATGCAATTGATCATTTTATTCCAAAAGACCAAAACATTTCCCGATATCTCTGTACATGGGTTGGTAGGAGATAACACTGTTTATCCAACCTGGGGAGGGGGTGTACTGTAGGGACCCCCTGGTGTGCGGAGTGAGGCCTCTGCAATAATGAAAGGACCGGGCTGTTTATCAATAAATACTGCGGCTTGAGGTGAATATTTACAGTACACAACATGCAGAATTTTCCCTCCCTGCAGGTAAATGAACACAAGTTCCTCATAGCACACGTTGTTCACATAACACAGAATATCTTACATATCAAGGGGACAGGAGTGCGTGTTTCTAGAAAGGACAGACTTTATCTGCAGACATGGAGATCATACCAACAGACTTATGTCAGCTAAGTGAAGAGAATATAACTCACTTCTACCTATCCTCAGCTTAATACTTCACCCTTCTTTACACTGACATTAATTCCATTCATTGTGATGGGTGGAAACATACAAGACATCAATAATCGAAAAAAGACCTATGGAGGAACAAGGCGAGATGATGACATAACTTTTCAATCGCATGATCCCAACCTTCAATACAGGAGTCCTCCTGAGGAACATAGTGAGATGGTGACGTAATTTCTCAATCACATGGTTCCAACCTTCCATACAGGAGACCTCCGGAGCAACACAACAAGATCATGACATCAATTCTCAATCACATGATTCCAACCTTCCACACACAAGACCTCGATGTAAACATAGCGAGATAGTGACATAACTTCTCAATCTCATGATCCCAACCTTCAACACAGGAGACCTCCGGAGGAACATAGTGAGATGGTGAAATCATTTCTCAATCACATGATTCCAACCTTCCATACAAGAGACCTCCAGAGGAACATTGCGAGATGGAGACATCACTTCTCTATCACATGACCCCAACCTCTAGTACACAAGACCTCTAGAGCAACATAGCAGGACATTACATCATTTTCAATCACTTGATTTTAACCTTCCGCACATGAGACCTCCAGAGGAACATAGCGAGATGGAAACATACAAGACATCAATAATCAAAAAAAAGACGTATGGACACAAGACCTCCAGAGGAACATCACGAGATGTAAACATCACTTCTCATTCACATGAATCCAACCTTCTACACATGAGACCTCCAAAGGAACATAGTGAGATGGAGACATTACTTCTTAGTCACATGGTTCCAACCTTCTGTACACAAGACCTCCAGAGGAACATCACAAGATGGAAACATCACTTCTCATTCACATGAATCCAATAAAGGTGAAGTGATGTCATAATGAGATGGTGACACATGAGACCTCCAGAGGAACATAGTGAAATGGAGACATCACTTCTCAGTCACAAGATTCCAGCCTTCTGTACACAAGACCTCCACAGAACATGAAGTGAGATTGTAACCTCAATTCTCAATCACATGAACCCAACCTTTGGTAGTTGAAACTTCCGGAGGAACGTAGCAATAAAATGCCATTAAATTCTTATTTTGTTTATTGTCATCCTCAAAACAATACCTCCAGAAAACACATGAAAGGTGAACATATGGAATCAGACCTCCAGAAAAAACCTTGAGTGACATAACAACCAATCAGATGCTAGAAAACATCCTGGGTGCGAAATAACAACCAATCAGACTCCAGATGTCATTTTTCAGATAGATAGATAGATAGATAGATAGATAGATAGAGGAGATACAGAGAGAGCGACAGAGAGAGAGAGAGAGAGAGAGCGACAGAGAGAGAGAGAGAGAGAGAGAGCGACAGAGAGAGAGAGAGAGAGCGACAGAGAGAGAGAGAGAGAGAGCGACAGAGAGAGAGAGAGAGAGCGACAGAGAGAGAGAGAGAGAGAGAGCGACAGAGGAGACAGCAGAGAGAGAGAGAGAGAGAGAGAGAGAGAGAGAGAGAGAGACAGAGAGAGAGAGAGAGAGAGACAGAGAGAGAGAAGAGACAGGAGACAGAGAGAGAGAAGAGACAGCAGACAGAGAGAGAGAAGAGACAGCAGACAGAGAGAGAGAGAAGAGAGAGAGACAGAGAGAGAGATTCTATATTAATAGAGAAGAGCCAGAGATCTGTCAGTCTCACCTGTATAACTGACGCTCCTGGAGCTGCGATGTGAAGAGAACAGGTTGAGATGAGTTTTAGAAATTTAAATGCAAAATCTCTTAAAGATTAAAAAATTAAACAATTCTCACATTACAGATGACTGCAAACAACTTATAGTAGGGAAGACATGAAGACCGTCATGATTATCACCAAGCTCCAGGTGGACCAATATTGTGGAAAATAAAGGCATGTCTGATATTTTTAGGCCACCGTTATTGTATCACCGAGAAATAAGCTGGTGCCAAAGTCTCAGGCTACCCTATTCCTTTCCGTTAGATACAGGGCAGAATGTGTTTAGGCAATTGTATCTCCAAATCATCTTTTCATAACAATTAAAATTAAGAAAATGAGCTAACTTTATACACTGTACACTTTGTTGTAGGTACTCTTAAGGTGGCCATACACTCTACAACCATCGCAAGACTTTAGTCTTGCGATGGTTGTAAAGGGATTAAAAAAACGTACGATCTGCCTATCTTGGACAGGCAGATCGCACTCTCGATCATCGCAAGCCACCCCCCTGAGGGGCGGGCTTCCGATGACCGCAATGCTGAACGGGCAGTGTGCGCGTGCGCACACCGGCCCGTTCAGCATTTATCTTCCGAGCACCGTTCTAACCAGCCGAGAATCGTACGATTCCCGGCTGGTTTTCGAACATGCTGGTTCGACAGAAGACGTGCGACCGTACAGTAGAAACGGTCGCACGTCTCCGTTCACACTGCTCGATTATCGTACGAAAAACCGATCGCATACGATTATCGTACGATAATCGTGCAGTGTATGGGCACCTTTACTGCAATGACCAACCTAAAAGCTTTGCCATCTGCTGGATTTTACTCAGCACAGCTGCTCAGGTCTCTGCTGTGCACATCTGACCTCATTAGTGGGCTTTATATAGCAAGGAAAAAGCTTCAAGCACACTCCAAATGAACAGGTTTGTCTGTTAGTCCTTCCCCTTGGTAGAGGTTCATCTGTCTGACTGTTTATGCCTTGGATTTGCTGTGACCACATGTTAAAAGTGACACTAAAACGTAAAAATGCAATCAACTATCTTAACTATTAACAAAAATGTATCTTATTTGTGTATCACACGGCTGTAGATCCTCAAATCATCTCTGAATTGGTGCTGACACTGTCCTTCCTTCTGGAGGGGTGCTACTTTTGTTCCCCATGGTCCGTGTGTATGTTGTAAAGTAGCTACCGCTACAAGCCAACTCTCGGGATGGACTACAATCTCAATACAAATTAGTAAACTAAACATGAGATTGTAGTCCATCACGGGAGTGAGCTTGGAGCGGTGACTACCCTGCAACACACACAGGGACCATGGGGAACAAAAGTAGCCCCTCTCCAGAAGGAAGGACACTGTCAGCACCAATTCAGAGATGATTTGAGGATCTACAGCCAAGTGATACACAAAAAAGGTGAGGTATTATTATTAGCTAAGGTACCTGAATGCATTTTTAAAGTTTAACTCCCGAGTTTAGTGTCACTTTTAGTGCTAACATCTTTCCTGCCCACAGACAGCTATTGCCACTGGCAACACAGAGGTTCAATAAAACTCAGTAACACTCACTCAGTGTTATGAGGATTTGAATTTATGTTGAACAGCTTAAAGTACAATGTGGGCATATATGGGTGTTCCCCAAATGTTTGGGGTAAATTGAGCACCTCAAATGTAAACACTGACTTACCCTCTGATGAATCGCTATTAAACTTTTCAGAGTCTCTTCATCCAGGTAATCAGCTACTGTTCTGAAGAAGATATCAAGAGTTATTTAGTAAATATTAGTGCCCTGAAGTGCTCATTACATCTAGTGCATGAAGAGAATCCATAGGAAACAATAAAGCTCCGCCATGCTATACAGACACGAAGGATAAACAGCAGAGTCTAAGTCACGCGTAAAAAAATGTGTGAAATGACAGGAACCCAACGTTTTAATACTGAGAATTCCACTGACTGGTTGAGGCCCTTATGTCAGCCTATGAAGCATGAAATGCGGGCACATGGAGGTCACATAACATTTGAACTAGAGTGTACTCTAACCGATGTTATATTTACACCACGAAATTCAAACTTTAGTAGTTGACATGCTAAGGACACTTCTTCAATGTTTTTAAAGGGTAATGCCTGATAGTTGGAGACAACACAAGCCAAGCTTTGAAGAACAAAAAGGGAAAAAGTTGATCTACAGCAGATGAACCACTGAATAACTCTGTGTGCCCTCTAAGCTAAAGACATACACTATACTGGGAAAAAAATTTTTTAGATAAACATTGTTTTAAAAATGTGTTAAATTTTATTTAAAAAAAAGTACACTTTGTGTAATCCTTGGAGTACCTGAAAAGTCCGAACTCTCTCTTTTTTCTTTGATACAAATTATTGGGATGTGGTACTCCTCCTCTATGCACACCTCACTGTATGATAACTAACTATATAAAGGAAAATGTTTATCGACACCTAAACCATCACATGTACAGTATATGAGCTTGTAGGACATCTCATTCCAAACCCATAGGCACTGATATGGAGTTTCCCTTTATTTAGTTTATAACAGCCTCAATTTCTCTGAGAAGAATTTCCACAAAATGTTGGGGGTGTCTGTGCTCATTCAGCCACAATAGTATTTGTGAGGTCAGGTACTGCAGCTGGAGTTCCAATTTATCCCAAAGGTGTTCAGTGGGGTTGAGGTCAGGGCTTTGTGCAGCCCACTGGCATTCCTCCACACCAAATGGGTCAATTAATGTCTTTTTGGAGCTGGCTTTGTACACAGGGGATAGTCAAGCTGCAACAGATTGTGTGCTTGCACTGTAGTAACAGTTTAGAGTAGGTTCTTCCTAGGGATGTCCCGATACAGGGTATTTTTTGAGTACTGCACAATGGGCAACAGCCGGCAGATCTTCGAAGCCTCCCCCCTCCTCCGTCTCCACTGGGCATTAACACTTCATTCGGGCCACAAGATCATCCTCACCTCCCTCAGTCCCCCAATATGGCGCCGGACCACATGGCCACCTCTGACTCCCGATCTGAGTCTCGTCCTCAGTCTCCAGTTGCCGCTAATGGAGCCTGCTACCCGAGCCGCTCTACTGACAGCCACTCCTCCTTGTCCCCGCCGCCAGCTACAGGTGAGCCGGCCTATACACAACAGCCTACACATGCTACCTTCGGGCCTGCAGGGAAGCTGCATAAGCCGGCAAGCTTCCCCACCTGTCACAGCTCCTCTGCACCGCATCAGGACTCTCAGCACTCTGACAATGACTTCTGCTGCCACCTACTCAACGGTCACTATTAGACCCTGCTCCTGGGACCCCTCCCCTGGCTGCTCTTTCTTCCTCAGCCAGACCTCAACGAGTTCCTAGATTGCAGGACCCTAGTCTGCAGCCCTGGTGAGACCACACACAGCCATATATAATTGCTGTATAATCATGGATTGATGGGATCTGTAGTCTTCTATTGCTGGTTGCAATTCTCCATTGCTGTATAATCATGGGTTGAGTTACAATTCTTCATAATTATAAAGAAACTGCCCTAAAATTATTAGTCTGTTTTAGTATTGTTTTAGAAAAAATGTCACGTCCCTTTAAGAAAAAGTATTGGTATCGGCGAGTACCTGAGGGAAAGTACTTGTGCTTGGTCTTGAAAAATGTAAAGTTTTCTTACTTGTTATTATGAACCGCCAGCTTATAAAGTGCATGGACAATTTCAGCACAACCCAAGATGGCGCCATGGCGGGTGTGCAAGTCTGTGCTGGTAGCCAAAGGGAGGAAATGAGGCAGCACTGCAATACAAAATGTCACGTTATTGATTGCAAGCATTTCAAGTGATTTCTCATAACACCATGAAGCATTGACAGTCATTTCTGAAGTTATTTCTTACATTTTACATGCCTCTTCTATAATTTTACAATCATGAATCATATACAGATTGATTTGGCGTGTCCTCTAAAGGCTGTCAGTATATGACAATGCAATTAGCATCACTGTTTAATGCATGTGAGATAGGGACCTTAGATTGTAAGCTCCTTGAGGGCAGGGACTGATGTGAGTGTACACCGTGTAAAAATTGTCAGTGCTATATAATACCAATAATAAATGAATAAATTCAACACATCGCAATGCTGATTTATAGATGTGTCGGGACTAATCTTTGTACAGTCAACTCATCTGACAGAAATCTATGGAAACCATTAAAAGCACATACACAGTGGGAGCAGACAAAATCTGGAGCAAATTTGCACTGCAACCAATCAGCTCCTCTATCTCATTTTCAAATCTTACCTGAGCAAACTGAAGAGAGATGCTGATTGGTTGCCATGCACAGCTGCTCCAGATTGTGTCTGCTCCAGTTTTGATAAATCGCCACCAAAGTGTTTGTGAGCAAGATATTACATTGCAAGCAGCAAACCAATTTTTAATTCGAAGACAAATGACTTTTAGGGAAATGCATAGAAACCATTCAACAATATAGGAGAACAGTGAAGAGCAATCACTGTGCTGCAACGCTGAACAGGAAGGATCCCGTGTTTATGTAATGTGCAAATAGGACATGGCGCGCACAATATGGCCCATCTGTATCAAAAAGCACAATGTAAGTTCACCCCTGAACCTCCAAAAATAAAAGATGAATCGCGTGTTCTGGTTTCGTGTCAGACCATGCTTTACTTCTAATTGGAAAACATGGAGCAAATGTAAACCCGACAGTGAGGAGCTCACAAAGTTTAACATCTTGAAAATGTTAAGGGGTAACAAGAATTTATTTCTTAACAAAAAAAAACTCAAAAATAAAATCCCTTTTAAATGCTTCAGTCCCAGCAGATATAAATACGGACATACCTGTTTTGGTCATGTATTCAGGTGTGATCGGCGTAAGGTTGTGCAGGGACTTTGTGGACAGCTCTCGAATGACACTGCAGAAGAAACATAATCATTTAACACAATTCATTTACACAATAAAAAGTGTAATCTGGGCACAATTGTTACTTTCACTTCACTATTACTTTGCCTGCACTTCATTGTGTTACATTTCACTTAATGAAGGAAGAGGCGAGACATTGCATTTTGAGGTGGGAGACGCAACAATGACCAGCTGATCCAATGAGGGCCCAAACAATGAAGAATAATTATATATAACACTCATGACTATTAGATCTGTGGTCATTAGCCCATTGCATTGTATTCTACTCTACAGTTTCAGATACAATAAATACATATGAAAGGGTAAGTTCACTTTCCCAAGTGAATTTGGGAAAATGGAATTACCCCATCCAATCTGGCCCGCTTCCTCCCCCCAACCTGCTATACTGACCTTTCAGGCAAATGCTACTTGCCCTCTGCCAGTACGAGTGTACTATCCGTACCATGTACTGCCGTGTAGCGCAGCCCTGCATTCTGGATTTTGAATTTCCTCGCAAATGGCACGCACTCATTGGTCAGTGGAGTCACCTGATCGTGCTGACCAATGAGAAGCGCTTCTGGCCACACTGATCAATAAGGTGACTGCGCTGACCAATGAGTGCTTGCCATTTGCGGGCGAAATTCAAAATCCATTACAAAGGGCTGCGCTACACATCAATACGGGGTACAGATAGTACACACATACCGGCACAGGGGGAAGGACCGTTTGCCGAAAGGCAAGTTTAGGGGTTAGGAAGGGGGCCAGATTAGGGAGGGGGTTATTCAAATTTTCCCAAATTCACCTGGGAAAGTAGACTCACCCTTTAGGCTAGGTTCAGATCTGAGCGAACCCAGAGTGATGGGGTTACATCCGCACGGCAATCACTTACAAAAAAAAAGGTAACATTAAATTGTTTTTGCTACACACGGCCCAGGCGAAATAGCGGCGAGAAACCGTGCGATCCGTCCTGCACAACTGGGGTGCCATTAAAAAATAATGGCACAGCCAGCACGATCGGCTGTGGTGGGAGACTCCGTGACCGCACGGCAATCCGTGCGGTTTGGTGCACGAATGACGTGCGGTCAGGAATCACCCAGATGTAAGCCTAGCCTTAATATCACAATGTGACAGCTCGAATCTATACCTACATATGCATGTTTCCTTTCATCTTTTGCAGAGATTTCTTCTTGTACAAAAAGACAACAGCGATGCTGAATAAAGATGAGAAATCACCCAAACCAGCCAGGCAAAGGTAACATTTTATTATAGTTTCTACGGAAGAAGCTGAACACAATTAAGCCTTTGAAGACAAAAGCGGCCCAGGTTTAGGCAATGGCAGGTGTAATGTCACTCTAGAAGGAATTGTATCATTACACTGAATTGATGAAAACAATAAACAATGACTATCGACGAGGAGGAAAGTAACAGGTGTCAGAAGGGAGTCAAAGCACGCGGTTTTATTGGGGTTTTAGGATGAAGGAACGGCGCTCGGGAACCAAGGTGTGAATAACTGCCACAAAAAGGCAAAATATATGATGTCAGAGAGACGGGATAAAAGCGCCTATTGTGTACAGAGGAGGCAGAGATCAGAAGATCCTTCTATCCACAACTTCAAATGGGCTGAAAATAAAGAACACAAGGAAAAGGGGAAAAAAAGCTTTACTGTAATGAAGTGCTGTCCAATACAGTACTCCAGGACCGCTCACACACAGTTATGAGATTCACAGGTTATCATTTCTTAAAGGATAATTTACTGAAGCCAACTTTATCCAAAACTCTTTAATCAAATCAAATGGGCGGACAAAGACAATATGCATCTTCAGTGAAGTTATGAAGGGTGAGAACTTCTGACAACATTTTAGTTACTGTCCGTGCCTTCTTGTTCTAGTGAACCCCCCTCCTTCCCATTTCTTGTTCTGGAGTCACAGAAATCAGAAGCGAGACAAATCTCCCCAGCGGTGTCACGGAGAGAAAAATGGCCACATGTGTTAAAGATTTTCTCATTCAGCTCCGAGGCCTGAACAAGAGAAATCACTTGATTCCCTCATCCACGCTAAAAAACGTTGATGGAGGAATCTCCCTTGCTAACTATTGTATTCTGCCGGCTGTCAGAATACCTGAACAATGACCACATGTGACTGGCTGCAGTTATTATTTGGCCGACAATTTTCCACCTGACTCCTTTGACAAAAGTTGATTGAAAAATTGACTTTTGTTCTTGTATAATATTTCTTTATTGTTTCTATATATAACAATACAGACATATAAATATGTAACCATCCTGTTAAAAGACTCTCCCAGGAAGAAATCCAATCAAAAACATACCCATTGGTAATAAAACCAACCATTCTTCCCTCCTAGGGGTCTCAACAAAACAAAAAAAAGCAAGGGAAACAACAACCCAAAATCCCTCCCATCCCTAAACCACCCAATAAAAAAAACAAACCCCCCAAACAAGACCAATTGGAAAGAAAAAAAAAAAGAACATTTCACAGTCTCATCTCCTCCTTCCCTCACTCCTCTCCCTTCCTCCAAAAATTGACTTTTGTTGAGGCATGTGTTGCTGGCAGGGCCATCGAAGGCCTAAATTTCGCCAATTCAGCAGGAAACTGCTTAAATTCGATTAATGTAAGGCCAGAGTTAGGCTTTAAGCAAAAACCAGGTGCGCAAGTGTACCCTTAGCGTACATAGTTACATAGTATTTGAGGTCCCTGTATGTTCTCATTCTTAAGAGTACTTGTACCTCTGTATATTACGGTCCCTGAGGAAATCGTCCAATTGCCTCTTGAACGATTCCACACTCTCAGCCAAAATCACAGCATGTGGCAGCGAGCTCCAGACCCTTGGTTGTAAGAAGGCAGAGATCTCAACAAGAAAAAAGCATTGGCCATCATCAACCAGCTTTTCCTCTGCCTGGAATTCTCGTGATCCTCTCAATTCAGCCGTTGGATGGAGCAGATGTTTTTTCATGACAGGAAAACACTCATTAATGTCCTTCTACTTGACCTGAATGACATACACAATGCTCCAGCGGGTCATACTGCTTTCTCCTACTGGACCAAATGAGCCCAGACTGAGTGTACGCATGTAAAGAGAAGTTCTGAACAACACATTGACATACACAACAGGGTGACAATGAAAGGTAACTGTAGCCCAATACCCCCTACAGATTACCAAAATATCAATTTTCAGACCCACGTATGGTTGGGAAAAACGCAGGTCCATATATCGGTTGTACACCACATAAACCAGAACCATTGGTGTTATGATGGGTGTTGTTGTAGTGATAAGATGGTCAGCTGCCATCTGTTACTAATTAGAAACAATTTTCACCAGCACACAATCCTTGTCTTAAGTCTCAACAGGTCACCGTCACACACACAGATTAATTCAATATCTCTTGGATATATTTATCGAAGAATGTCACAGCATGTCATTAGAAGCTGAAGCTAGCGTTTCAGGACCTCTCGGGTCCTGAAACTACGTCATTATGTCGCTCTGATGAAGGGTCCCTGTGAGGTTCCGAAACACTAGCTTCAGCTTCTAATGACATGCTGTGACATTCTTCGATAAATATATCAAAGAGATATTGAATTCATCTGTGTGTGTGCCGGTGACCTGTTGAGACTATTCTGAGTTTTTTGCACGGCGCCATCCGTGTGATCACCATGAGCACCACCACCATTGAAAGGTTGCAGACCGTAAGGAGTGCGGGTGGTTCTTGAAAACAAATTGTCTTAAGACATTTGCTGAAACATTGACATTGTAGATCACAAATGTAAAGGGATCCTGGAAGTGTTTTACTACGATATTTCAATAAAACATCCTCCCAGAAACAAACATAAAGCGGTGATGAGGAATGCTTCTGATTTACAAGTGTCCTTGTATGATGCCTCTTGCTGCACATAAAAGGGAAAGCCGTCCAAACTGTTGATGATTATACGTGCACCGTACCCTATATCTGGCACTGGGTACGGCTGTGCCACCACTAATGTGGTAGTAAACTGAGGGTCAAACCTGGAGCTGTGTTGCTGCAGCAGCAGAAGGATTTTGTTCAAAGACCTTTTCTTTGGTGCCAATACAAGACATAATCAGGAGCTCCTTCAAAGAGGTTCCAATTATTAACTTTAATCAACACTGAGTGGTAACAACCCCTCTTACGCGACTATGATTGATTTTGATTGTGTATCCCGAGTGGTAAATGCTCACGAAATCGAAAAAGTGTGAAATACAAAAAATTCTTCCTTTCTTGAACAGATGACCTATGGTGTTTGTCAGAGGACATCAACAGTCGCTTCAGATACATTCAACTGCCCCGGATATCTTGCCATTTGTAATATTTTATAGGCGGCACATCGCATTGTCTTTACATAGATAGTCCGAGGACTTACTATAAAAACAAGAGTTACGCTTGTTTGTGTAACCTTGTATGACCTGCAGGCTTGTTTCATTCTCATTCTGTAGATATTGTATACCGGAGAAGAATGTTGCTGGTGGCAGTACTATTTTTCACCTGAGATTTGTGGAATTTTCTGTTACACCTGTTTATCTGGTTTGGGGTTTTTCACAGGTGAATGGCTGCCGTGTCCGGGATGCGGTACTGTAACCAGAGCTAGCCTGCGGGTCGTATGCACAGTGTGACAAATAACCTTGCGTAACTGATTAAAGACAAGGTCTGTAGACTCCATAGAGTACAGAAGAGAACACAGGGGGCAGTAGTCAGCTCCTTAAAAAAGTGGTCACACAAGACACCATGCCCCTACCTTGTCCAGGCCCATGGATGCTTCACGGACTACAACACCAGCCGCAAGATTGGTGGCTATGGCAGACAACACCCTTCTGTGTATAACAGCCACCGACCATTTTGATTAGACAAGATTGAAAACCTTCTACAATCACAAATATTGCCTCTCAGGTAACGTCAGAAGGTTCCTTCTGCAGTAGGAAGTATGCAATATGGTCCAAGCACACAGGTTTATGTAGAAAATCAATCCTTCAATGGCTGGATTACAGCTATATGCCTGACCTGACCATTGTATGAGGTCTATGGCCACCTAAATGACAACACTTCCCAGAATGAGACATGCTCCTTCCCAGCATACCGATCATTTCCAAAACCATTTCTTCTGCTTTCTGCACAGAAAGGATCGGAAACTTCTCAGCAGCTAGGTTTTCATCTCCTGGATCTAGACGCGTTCATATGAGCAGATTATAAATCAGTGTTTAAACCTCTTGGGCCCATTTAAACTTTTTGCTGAAGGAAAACACATGTGCATTTGTGAAAATGCATTTCATATAAAAATCCCATTAATGCAAAGCTGGCTAGTTCTTACCTTTGTACTGCAACTAGGTGGACCCTTTCACAAGTATGCATGTGCAATAATGTGTCCTTTTGATGCATGCGTTTGTGCTTTTTTTGGTACCTTATACAAACAATTCCCCAGTACACTTTCCAGATACTCAGCATAAAAATATATATAAAAATGGTTTCAGCATCTCAGGTAAAAACAAAGTTTTCTATTGCATACATTTGCAAATACATGTGAAGCCACACTGTCCCATCAAGGCACCTGTGCAAAGTGACGTGCCTTGGTGCCGCACATCAGCTTTATTTATAAGCTGCTCCCTCTGCTGCTTTAAGCTATTACTGGCAATAAAACCTGCCCCTGATCACATGCAAATTATGCAACTGTTTAGTAGAAAGTCTACCTCATCTTCATGGCTAATTCTCTCCAATATACTTCACTAATAAGAATAAGAGGCAGTCTTAGTTGCGCCTAATTGTGTCTTGATAAATGTCCCCCAGTTTCTCTTTAAAATATTGTAATAGCAGACACTGACTAATAAGGAATGGGGTGTTAGGTAAGGTAGTGGGTTTGCACCCCTGCCCCCCCATCCCTTCAACTGGCAGCGATAAGGACTACATAAGTCCAAGCAAAGTCACCGCGTTTGCATTGTCAGTACTGCCATGGCTCCATAAGGCATCAACTGCTGTATATCCTCCCTTGGAAAATGACAGGCAGGTACACAGTTTTGACTAATCATGCTATCCCCCTACAGGAGCTTGAAGGACGTAGCTGAGCCCCCTGGACATCCATCAGGCCCTAAGGTGGTCACATACTGTTCATTTTTTTTTTCATTTAGCCAGCAGGCACACAGCATGGATGAACAAATCTCCTGCTGCGATGAAGGTATTCGGAGAGCAGCGTGTGTGTTGCTGCCAGAATACACGAACGAGAATTTTCGGCCTGGCTCCTTCCATTTACTGATTGAAGGATGTCGGAAAGGACGCTGCCAACAGGGCCTCACACAGGACAAACTGCGGCCAGTTCATTAAGGAACAGATGAAATTTGCTCAGTGTATGGCCAGCTTTAAACTCGTGCCAAGGTTGCCTTGAGGATGATCTGGCTCTAGAAAAGAGGTGCAAGCATTCATCACACGTGGAGGTGTTAGATGATGAAGATCCTGGTAGTGAATTTAGCCTTGCAAGAGAGCAAAGACTGGATTCACAGGGGGTGACCCTGGTAAGCTTTAGACATACTGTATATTTTAAAGTGATTCTGCTGTAAGGGGTACATGCAACCAAACAAGTGTGTTTTTTATATCAGCTCTACAGAGTGGGTTCAGGAAAAGCCACATGTTGTTCCCAGCTCGCATCCAGTGGCTGTGATGATCAAACTACTGACAGACAGACAGGATGATCGCTGCAGTGAGCTTTGAAGCTGACCAGCAGACTGGAGACACAATCACTGATCCCTGCGGGTACAGTCACAGCCTGGACAGCACAGCCTTAGAGGACATGTCAGAGCACAGCATAGGATACTATAAACAGTCGATGTGTGCAAACAATACAACGCTTGGGGCATCAATACTGCCTCGGGGATTGTTACCTACTCCTGCCGGTCTGTTCTTACAGCAGCCAGACTTCTGTTTCTTTAAGTCTACTTTTTACAATATGGGAAAACGTTAGATAGCCAAGAAAAATAACAGAGCTATTTGTGTTGTAAACACCATCACGATTACCTGTGTATATACAGAGTAGGCAGTAAATGTTCTCACTTTAATTCTACTTTTTATCTGGTAGAGCGACGTGAATGAAGGAGGTGCACCACCGTACAATACATAACGGATAATCCCTGGTCAGAAAAATGCAATTCAATAGTAACAGCAACAAATAAAAAGCGCTGCCACAAAGTTGCTGGGTACAAGAGCAAGTTCTTCTAAGAGTTACATAACATCTGGATATATATTTATAGGGACTGTTTTACAAGACAAATGATTTGTAAAATTATGCAAATACTTTTGTGTCGTTGTGCCCCCCACCCCACGCAGTATAGAAAGGGTGACAATACTTTTCAGCTCCTGGAGACATTTTATTTATTATAGGTATCTATACGGTGCCGACAATTTACGCACCACTTTACATAGTGCACATTCACATCAGTCCCTGCCCTCAAGGAGCTTACAGACTAAGTTCCCTATATCACAAGCATACATATGAAGTCAATGCCTTGACTACTGCCTGCTCTTTTGGCTTCCAGTAAATATCACACTGGTGATGTCCACAATTGCTTTTTACCATCCTATAAACCCATTTAAAGTGTATGTCAAGGCAAAAATCCTACATTACATGTACATTCCCCCTGTATTTTGTCCATTTAAACATGCTGCAAGCACAGAAAAATAAACTGCTGATGTGCCAGAAATATAGCGAGCTTCTACCTTCCTCTTTGCAATGTCAGTCAGAAATGTAGAAGGCGGCAGGTGTCAGCCATTTCTAATGAATTACAAAGAACACAAGCCCTCTCCTCAGCTCCAAAACTGTTCTTCGGCCCGGTTTACACCTGGACGTTTTGTAGCGCATTCCTACGCTCTGCAAAACGCTCAAACACCGAAATCCCATTATTTCCTATGGGTATGGTTCACACCTGGGCGTATTACAGGCCGTATGAACGCCCTACGCCCAAAGAAGTACAGGAGCTTCTTTGGGGCGTTTTTGTCGCGCATATCCATTGGGATACAGCCAGGTAGCCCTCGGAAACGTGCATTTGTCGCACGGTTTTTTAACCGCGAATCGCGGTAAAAACGTGTGACACGAAACACGCGACAAACGCGCATATTCGATACGCCTAGGTGTGAACCCAGCCTACCTTGTGCACAGCAAGAGAGAACAGAACGTTATCGGCTCACAAGATTTCTAGCAAAACCAACATGAATTTTTGCTACTTATTAAACAGATATAACAAAACACTTGCAAAGGTTTATATTGAGAAAACCAAAAGAGAGCAAACAATAGTTCTTTGTTAGGCGTATACATACACTTTAAGTATCTTCCAACAAATTAGACACACTCATTGCAAATGTGATTTCAGCTTTCAGCTGGCATGTGCCAAATATCAAGATAACATTCAGGTTATTAAAATAGTTGAATTATATAAAGATTTGCAACTTTTAAAGGAATACATCAGTGTAGTAAAGTAATCTTGTTGGTTACTTAAAAATACTGAAAGGTCATCCTTCTGTAATAGTCCGCCCGCGGCCCGCATCTCTGACCTCTCCTCCATCCCATCATTGCAGCCTCCTTCAGACTTCTCAGCATTCAAAACGTATTGGAGTGTCTGATACCTGTGGCCCTCACTCTACTTTGACACCTACAACATGGTTGAGTCTAGGGCTGCAGCTCACGATTATAATTTTTTTCAACTTCTCTCTCTCTCTCCTTCCCCAACCAATGAGAATAGTTGCCAACTATACTCATAATCGATTATTATCAATTTAGTCGATTAGTTGTTGCAGTTCTAGTTGAGTCCTGTAGTGACGTAGGGGTCGGAGGAAGGAACCAGCACCCAGCGCGGTACCCAGGCATCTGACACTACCAGAAGTAGTGAACACCAAAGAGTCTGACATAGGCTGCAACCTGCCACTGGAGAGGCGTGTATAATATCGCTTCTATTGCATGGAACAGGCACTTCAATTCCTTTAAATGACTGATAGGGTCCCTTTAATTGGTGTTTTTATACAATGATTTCATTAACATCAGGAGGCTGTGAACTCACCCATCCCAATGGTTAATCTTCATCTTCACTAGGTGATCAATCATCGCCAAATTGTATTCTGGGAAGTCAGCAACAAATACACTGAAAACAAAAAAAGAGTGAAGGATAGAGACTCTTTAGTAGGAAGCAAAATGTTATACACATCAGTGTCTGTTAAGATCTAAAGACTACTTTTTTTTTTTTAGTTTTGGGTTGCGTAGGGAAGGGTTACATCCCCAATCAGGTTTTTTTGCTCACATTACAAAAATGTTTAAAAAAATTACGCAGCAAACCATTTTTTATGAATCCACAATCATACTACAGTATTTATTTTCTCATTAATTAAGGCCTTTTGGGGTCTTCAAATGCCCTCATCAGGGCTTTAGTCGGTGACAGAGATAAGGGAAAGGGGGGGACTCCTTACATATATCTGAGACAGTGTTACATAAAGAGGAAGAAATGTTTATAGTACCAGCCTTGAAAAGTCTTCCAATGGGAACACCAGTTCCAGTGACAGATGTACAAGAGGTAACCTCCATTCACTTTGGGGAGATTTTCTCTTACTTCATGTAGTGCCTCAGAACAGGAAGTGAAAGGGAATCACTAAGTGACGGCGCTGACCAATGAGAATATCTCCTGAACCTTGCTTCTTCCAGAACAGGGTCCCAAAAGAAAGAAGAGATTCTCATGTTATATGGCTACACTGACCACTCACCGCTCCCTATTGCAATAATTATGTTGCTAAACGGCGTCTGGGTCTGTTAAGTGAGGTTTTCAAGTGTTGGGACCGTTATATAGAATGACATAAGTGGCGGGCATGGGCCATTATTACAGGTAAGTGCAGCGGGTGTGAGGAGGGTGTTGCGAGTTCATTTTCGGTGAACAGGTGACCTAACTCTTCAAGCCAGAAGGGAAGACAGAAAATAAAGGTTGGAAGTGCCCTCACCACCTACGTTCCAAGTTACCTACAACAAATATAAAATTGTAGTTCTTATTTAAAGTACTCAAAATCCAGTGAAAGACTAATTTTGGAGATAGTGGGGAAGGGTTGGTAGTCTCAACTGCACTCTATCTCGATGACCACCATCTCTGGGACATAGTGAGCGGAAACCTGAAATGTTACAGTTGTTAACTAGAAACAAAAAGTAGAGGATATCTATTAAAGTGAACTCCTGTTTCAAAGATGGCTGCGATGGGATTCCCCCTCAAATAAAGAGGACTTCCACTCACCTTCTATTGTGACTCTGAGACAGGAAGTGAAATTAAATGTCCCAGACAGTGACAGGGATAAGACATTTAAAGTGTATGTAAAGCCACAGAGTATGGAATGAGTATGGAATGTTTAAGACCCGTCAGGTGGTGTTTGTGTCCCATCAGGAGATTTTCCTTCACTTCCTGTCCCAGACACTAAGCAGGAAGTAAGAGCAGATCTCTCAAAGCAAAGGGTCTTTCCCTCTTAGACGACTGTCACCAATCATCTAAGATGGAACCAAACTTTCACCAAAAAGGTGCCCCATTATAGGATGCCTAGCGGTAAGTTAAAATTTTGGATTTATCACTTTCTTAACAGAAACAATGGTCACCAAGATTAGTAGGGAGCATAATAATGAGTGTGGATATATAAAAAAAAAGAATTTTGGATTCATATAGGCTTTATCATTTGCCCAATTTATCCAAAACCTAAAAAAAAAAAGTGTGGCGTCTTGTAGAGAGTTCCAGTTTAAAAAAAACAGCAGCACCACTGACACATGTGGCAGAGAAGGCGTGTGCTCCTTGGTTTAGCTCACCTTGATGATGTCGTCGGATTGGCTACGGCTCCACACAGGACATTAGGACATTTACTTTTAATGTAAAATAATTTGTCCCCCCATGTATACTAGGAGGTGACCTCGTGATCTGTATAAGGCACCCACAAGCTAACACTGATTCACAACTTTTCAATAGCTCCAGCCATTTATAGAGGCCGCGTCTGTGAGAAATGGCCGTGGTTTTCAAATTACCTGATCTTGAGGAAGCAACTGACTCGATTCCCGACTGCAAAATAGTCTGCTACGGTCAAGATGTCAATACCGTGTGGAAAAGTACCCTGGAGGCACAAAACAAAAATATCAGACACTTTCCTGGTGCTTTCCATGTTCAGAGAAAAGGAACTACGATGAACTCTTTATATAAAGCTTCACTGCAAACTACAGATAAGAAGGGTGGTTGGCCAACAGCGAATATCATTCCTATTCTGTGAAATATCTAAAAATATAAATGTGTAAAAAAACAACTTTGTAACCAGATTTTGCCTTAGAAATCAGTCTTTGCCATAGAAATATGTCTGTCGGCATCATTGTTGGTTGCTAGAGAAGTTATAAAGCGAGCATGCCAAACTCAAATGAAACAGTAGGCATTGCAAACATTATAATAAAAATATTTTAAACCAGAATAAGTGGCCATTCTTTTTCTTTCTGAGGACCGCAGGGAAGGAGTGAGTGGGCTGTATGCGGCCCATAAAACCTCAATGTAACATGCCTGGTATAAATTGTATTTTGCATGCTTTTTTTTACCAGTTGTCATGAATGCCCCAGCGTGCATGTGTTCGCCCTACATCATATGCATTCTCATAAAGGCAGATTCATCTTACAACATGGCTGCACGGCCTGCAAGAAAGACTGCTCTATAGGTGTTTAAGTGTACCGATGTCAATATATCATAGAATGGAAGGTTCTCAAGATAACTACTGTGACATTGACAGAAAAACTAGTCCGTGTAGCAGCATGAGCCCATATGGCGTGACATAGAGGGGACACCAGGTTCATGCCAAGTTATGCCACGCTATCCGGTGACAAGGGGTTAAAAGAAATGGCTCAGAAAGTTACCATACCTGTCTCCCCACATTCTCCTGGAAGGCTGCCTGGAGAAAAGAGAACAAACAAGACAAAATGAGACACCTCTGCTTATAACCAAACACCAACGGATGAATTCAAAACAAACACAGCGCTGTAGAAATGACCCATGGCTTCACATTCTGGAATAAAGTACACCTTGTGTGGAACGGGCCCCGCAGGGCATACTGTCAATGCCGCAGTCACAAGGAATGCTGGTGAATGGCACCAGCCATATTCTCACGTTCCTCTCGCAGAGCGCTGATCACGCCACCTGTCTGCACATACTACCTGTTACATAGGAGACAAGTGGTGCCTCTGTGCCCGCCCTCCCAGGACACAGAGTTCTGTCTTAGTAATATCTATGAGCTGAAGTGCAATTAGATTTGAAGGGATACATGTGCTGATCGGCTACATAACATGTCTTCTAATGACAAAAAGAAAATAATTTGATAGCAACCAGATAACTTTGTATTGGTCTCACAGGTCTATGCACAGGGCTGGATTTCCCACAAGGCCAACCAAGGCTAAGCCTCAGGACAGCAGGGAGTAGAGGGGCAGCAGGGGTGTGGAGTCCCTATCTCCTGATGCCCGGGACATGAAGTTCCAGGCACTGGGCTGGTAGTTGTTTTCTACATTTAGCCCTGCTTTGGGCAAGCAGAGCTAAATGTCCAGCAGGGAAGCCGCTGCTCGTTTTGTACATGTGATCTTGGCCATCTCGCCAAGATCACTCCATGAGGGGGTTCTTAGGTAGGGGGGCGCATTGAGGAACCTGTCCTTGGGGCAGCGGAGAGAGTAAATCCGGCCCTGTCTGTGCATGAACTTTTTGCAATTGCACCACGGACATTGCTGCGCCACACATTTTAGTGCGGATGGGAGGCATTGCGGCGGTGCTATTGACTTGAAGGCTGTAATTTTGCGATCCAGTGCGCCCCAGCCACTAGCCTTGCTGGAACGCACTGGATTAGGTGTGAACAAGCCCTAAGGCTGGCCATTCTTTGTTTGCTCAGTTTCCCTATCCACGCTAAGCAGTCCCCCTGTGGGCCCTGTGTTGTATTCTGACAGCGGTGGGTTTATCACTGTCAGAATACCCAAACAATGAATTTTCAGACTTTGTCAAACAGAAGGGCATTGAGAGGGCTCAATTTGAGCAGTGTACAGCCAGAGTTAAAACAAACAATGGGTGTCCTTGATAACAGGGTATCTAATATTTGCACATATGTGGGACAGTTTGTTAAAAATATATATTTGATTTTGCTTGGTTTGAAAGGAACCATTGAAGACGGCCATTATGTGGCACAGATGAGGCTCCGGAGTGACAAGCTCGTAGAAGTGGCGCTAGTTCTGGGGGTAGCTGTCACTGTCCCGAAACTACCACATCTCTTGAGTTATGCACTGGCAGCGACCTGTGCTGGAAGAAGTAATGGCTGCAGATTACAGCTGCCCTGATAGTGACGCTGTTGCAAACATAAAATTGCCAAAAATCTGTGCCTGCAAAAGAAGAGTACATACTTACCGCTCTCACTGTCCACACCACTCTGCTGAAGAGAAATAGCTGAAGCCTGTTCAGGAATGGAGACTTCTGAGAGTGTTCATCTACTGGTCCCCCACTGGGCTTACTGGTTCTTCCCAATGACCCCTGAGTTACTACTATGTCCTTCCACACTCTTCACTTAAAAGAGAACTATGGGGTAAGTGTTTTTTCCCATAGTTCTCTTAAGGGTCACGGTAGGACATATACTAGCATCCTCACGTGACCCAAAGCTCAGTATACAGAAAGGTATCATGGCACACTCACAACTCAGCATGTAATAAAACTTGTCTCACCACTAATGTTAATAACAGAGGTTTGGATACACGTCTTCTGCAGAAAATGTGAAAGCCGCACAGCCGCGCTAAGGCACCTCTTATAGTGCGGTCCTAACTCTAAACTGTGGTGAGACAGTTTTTTTACATGCTGACTTGTGAGTGTGCCATGATACCTTTCTACGGTTTACTGTTTGAAGCCCATTTCGTGTGCACCTTACTGTATAATTGGTGACAAATTGTTTAGTGCGTTTGTCATTTGTTTTGCTTGACCAAAGCTCAGTATAATCGCGAGCTACAGCTTGCGGTATATAATGGGACCGCCACAGCCGGGACAGATCCCGACATTACTGTCGAGATCCACCCAGCTGCGTGAGTGACAGCTGGCTCCCCGCCCCCTCCCCGTCCGTTCGTCCAGTTAGCGCTGGAGGATCGGAGAGGGGGGGAATCCCTGCGGGGAGCGGTGAGTGACAGTCACAGCTCTCTGCAGGGAGATTATCGAGAAGTGAGCGAGCAACAGTATGTGTTCGCTCACTTCCAGATCTGTTGAGCCGACGTGTGACAGTTTCATTGTCACAGTCGGCTCGAACTATGAGGATGAGTAACTTTCACTCATCTCATAGTTCTCCTTTATGTTTTAAAACCGTCCTGTCCAGTTTGTAGTGAGACATATACAAAACATATCAACACTTTAAGAAATGCATTTAGCTGATTGGTGATGAAGATATTTAAAATGTGATGCACCCATTTTGAAAAGGTCAACTTTACCAGAACTACTAATGTTTAAAGGAGGGCTCTACATAAAACATGCTTTATCTCTAGGCAGCAGGAATTAAAAAAGTGACACCTATTTCTATTGTCCTACAGCATCAGCCGAAGTACAAAGAAGACGTGCCACAGCCTCTTGTACTAAGTATGAAGTCAGCATAGGTTAAGGGACCCACCAGCAGACATCTGAGCTCTGTACAGTCCCTCCTGTCATATAATTATGCAGGTTATAGATCTACAGGTCTACACTGGAAGTCAAGCTGTAGGGTTTGACAATTACATCTCATTAGCAGCAATGAAAGTATCATTCAGGACTGTCAGGGCCAGCCGCAGGAAAGACACAACCTGTACAGTTAGCCCGGAGCTACAATTACAACAGGCAGTCGTTATGAGAAGGACAAACACAACAATGCTTATCTACAACATAGACCTCAACCAGCAAGCTTTAATGCACGCTGCCTGGGCCTGGGTGGAGGCGACCGACACCGACCTCAGCTACACTAAAACAGCACAATACATAAAGTAAAAGGAAAATGGTCATGGTAACCAATGACATTCCAGCAGCCATTTCTTTCATGGCAGACAAAGAGTGGAGATCTGTCCATGGCAACCAAAGGGGAATGGGAGGAAGTCTCCTGTAAACCATTCTTCTGCTTTCACAGAAACCTGGCATACTCTTACCTTGTGACTTGCTACAAAGTTGCAATCTGATAGGAACTCTATTGCTGTCATGGAGCCAAGCATCCAGATATGGGGGTGCATGTGACCTCCTGCATGTGCTCAGGCCCGAGTACCCAATCGCTAGGCCCAATCACAGTGACATAATCCACTTGGGTAAACTCAAACACCAGAGCTCATCCAGGGTGGACTCTTGCAGTGGGAAGGCATTGAGGCAGTGTAGATGGGCGAGAATCCATTGCTGGGGGGAGGGGAGATACTGGCCAACATGGTAGCTTTGCTGTGGCCTTGCCCTTTAAAGTGAGTGCCTCCACCCCCTGCAGCCTAAATAAGTTGTTCTCTGGAGTTTATGAGAACGCCATGGGTCGTGTTCATATGTGAGGATATGTACTTGGTGCTTGTGAGATCTTGTCAAATATCAACGTGATAGAAAGAGAACAGCGATGAACAATGACAGCTTACCGAAGCAGCTCTTCTGCAGCTCACATCGCGGTCAAAGATGGCAGCGATTAGCAACGCACTACAAGAGGAAGAGGAGAGAGAAATACAAAATGAGACATTGGCATCTATTCAAAGATTGTCATTACTTCACCTAGCACGGAAGGAAATCAGGTGACCATTACCAGCGGCAATATGTCCCACTTAGACATACACTTCATTCCCAGCACATCTCACCTGTTCACATTGTTATACAATGAATATGGCTAGGTACATACAGCTATATTTCACTCTGCTCTGGGTAGGATTAAAAAAACAAAATAATCACTCCCGTGATGGGCTGTAATCTCAATACAAATTGGGCCATGGGGAACAAAAGTAGCCCCCTCCAGGAGGAAGGACAGTGTCAGCACCAATTCAGAGATGATTTGAGGATCTACAGCCGAGTGATACACAAATAAGATACATTGTTGTTAATAGTTAAGGTACTTGGATGCTTTTTTAAGATTTAACTCCTGTGTTTAGTGTAACTTAAAGTAGCTTATAGGAGGAGGGGAGCACAGGGATGACCTTAGCAGTGCGACTCTTTCACAGCCCAATGAGAAAGTAGGTGACACAGGAAGCTGCCATAGTGAACAACAGTGTCACCCTTCCTGGATATCCAATGTGGTTGGGGTGTATAAATCACAAAACGATGAATGACAGAACAGATTACATATGTGGATTTCCATTATAATGTTTTGATTTGAAGGTCAGTCGTGAAATCCAAATAATATTAATAGGAGAGTGCAGCGGTCATGGGTTCTGTATCCAAGCCATTCCAGTGATGCCAGGGTACCATGGAAATTATACACAAAGCTTGGGGCTGCACAGCTCCTGTTTGTCTTCAATACAATGGAGTTAGAGGAGTCCTGCCTGGAGCACACGGCCTCATTGTCTTGTCTACTACCCATCATTGCCATAAATAAGTGTCATTTATTCACACTGACAGTCTGGAAATCAGAGTGAAGAACCCTGAGCCTCTTCTATCACTGCCAAAGAAGGCAAAAACTCAGCGGCTTCCTAAACATGTCTGCTGGCTCCAAGAATGGATTAACCAGCTCAAGATTTTTTGATTTTTAAAGTCAAACTGCAAGCAGCTATGAATATACACCGAGTATTGCAGTTATGTATCCATGTAAACATCATTCATTGTATTAAATTTGATTTCCTATCGATCAGCCTCTGCACAGCAACGCTCATACTGGGAGGGAAAGGGGAAACACTAGGAGCCAATCAGGCCCGGACAAGAAATTTGCTACATGGAGGAGTAGAGGAAAGACTTTCTTGCTGAGCCTTTCCTGTCCAATCACAGGCTGTTGATCCTACTAGTAAACACATTGATTTCCACTGGCTTTAAAAGGGTGACATTGTCGTTTGTTCTGCAGTACAGTTATGGCCTGCTTAAAGACTCCCTTGCCCACAGGGCAACACTGCCGCTGATTTATACAGCGGCAGTGTTGCCTTGTGGGAAAGGGAGTCTTAAGCAGGCCATACACGTTTATTCTCCTTCAGCCCGCTGAAGTTTGTCAAGCCAGGTGGTGCCGGCAGCGCCTCCCTTAGTTAGAATTTTGGATGTTTCACAGGAATCAGCTGAAATTCTAACAGTGCGCGGCCAACATTAGATGGACATGTAGTTTAAAATAAGACTTTAATTAAAAGACAAATATATTATATTATATAAGTCCAACTGCAGCTCACAGTTTTTAAGCATTTACAGCAGCAGTTTGAACCAGTATTAAGCAAACAGCGGTCCTCCAGCTGTGCTGAAACTACAAATCCTATCATGCATTTGCCTCTGGGAGCCATGCCTGCGGCTGTCAGTGACTTGCAATGCCTAATAGGATTTGTAGTTGCACCACAGCTGAAGGGCCGGTGTTAGCCCACCCCTGGTTTAAACCATATGAATTATTGTTGTCTTTTTCCCCGGTGCAGATTTTCCTTCACTTCCTGTCTGGTAAAAAGGTTGTCCTCAGTACAGGAAGTGAGGGGAATCTATACGCACCACAGACAAAAGTAAAATGTGTTACTGTTAAATTCCCATCGCTTCCTGTCCTGGGGACAACCTATTCGCCAGACAGGAAGTGAAGAAATCTTACCAACAGAGCCTTCAATGGTAGTAAAACCTGACAGGGGTTCAAACCTTTACTCCCTATCTAAAATTTTGGCTACAGATACACTTTAATAACCAATAGGATACTATTAATAAATATAAACAATACAATAAATAAGACTCGAATGAGTGACATCTTTCACTTGGTAAATTGTTGCAGAAACATTTGGCTAGCCTCGTTCCCCAGTTAGAGGATCGGAGCTTGGCACGGCTACAGATCTCGACTTTATCAACAAATTCAAACAGGATTTTTGAGCCTTTGTTCTGCGAGTTTCTGCGATACTCCTCACAAGGGTTTCGTGGGAACCAGAGCGAAGACTTGGCCCGCATGTCCCGGCTTGTCGGCGGTTACCACACCTGCCAGCCAGCCGGCCTGGCTCTCTGAACCGCTCAGCCTCGGAGGCACGTCCTGTGCTGTACCGAGACAGCGGCTTGTTTAGATAAAGAGCTTCACTTTCACTGCTTCCCTGGAGCCC